TTCCTTATTAACAAAATATTATCGGAAATGGAAAAAGCTAATTTTTATAGAGGGTCGCAGTGCAAATATTTGTGAGAAGTGTAAATCAAAGTGTACGGAATGGAAATTTTTGTTTTTTCTACTCCACTTGGGAGTATTAGGAAATTTTTCACTTGACAGAGTTAAGCGTCAGTTTTACAGGTTTTTACATTGAGTTAAATAGGGCAGTGACCAGCCTGCCGTAGCTTTTTTTTTAATACTAAAACTTATTGGATACATGGGCAATTGAATATTTTATTTTTTATAATATTGTATATAAAGCTGTATATAATATTAAGTATAATTATTGTAGTGATCTGAACATCCAAGGCCCTTCGGTTATAGGACCGGTGCCATAATTACTGCACCATTGGTCCAGAACTACGGGGTGGATTGGATTGCAAAAAAAAATTTTGTTCCAAAATCTTCTTATATTATCATGTCTTCTTCTTATGTCTTATATTGCAACTTTTTTTAAATTCCCTTAAATTCTAAATTTAAATATAATTTGCTAATTTATAGCTGTATTTTTTTAACTATTTTAATTTTTTATTTGTTAAAGTCAAGTGGATCAAATTAAGTTTTAATTTTTGTTTTCATTCTACCTTAAAAATTATTCACTCACTTACTCAATCACTCACTAAAATAATTTTCATATAATATGTACAATAAAAAATATAATTATTCATTCATTCTATTCAATAAATATTCTAAAAACTCAACTTTCAAAGAAAAAAAAAAGAGGAACAAAAAAAAAAATTAAAATATAAAAAATTTATAAGAATATTAACAAAAACAAATAACAAAAGGATAACGTATATAAGAAAAATGCTTCTTGTGTCCTTTCTTGTGCTCGTTTTAATAATCATTGTTTCCTTACTATATATATATATATACATATATGTATGTGTATTTGGTATATACTAAACAATACTCCTTTAATAAGCTTTAAAATGCCCCAAGAGTATTATTCTATATATTATACCCGAACTTATTCTTATTTTAACACCTTATATTTTTGTTTCTCCTTTTTTTTTCTATTATTTATATATATATATACCTATATGTATATTATTTCTTAAGACTGAATATATGATTATGAAGTACATCATCCGAATCATAGAATTAACTATTATATTATGAAGTGATGCCTATCTTAATATATGATGCACATTCTATAAGTATATACATATTATATGTATGTAGTTATTTTACATGAAAACCGAATTGTAAATATTTCGTTATAAAGTATTTAATACAGGGTCAATAAGCTTTATAATTACAACATAATTGGTGGATTATAAGAGTAGAATTTCGAAGCATTTCAATGGCTATTAACTCATGGAATTTCTAAAATTTTTGTGTATTAGCACTAGGTCAGAGCAAAAGCAATGTATCTGGAAATATTTTTGTTTTTTGAAATCTTGAATTTTTCGGCAATTTTAATTATTCTAAATTCTATGTCTATTTATGAAGAGTATTGAAAAATCCTAAACACTTTCTATTTCCGGTACATTCAGTTTTCAAATTCAGACGAATATTCTTTAATTGCAAGACCCTCCTCTTCAGATTTGTTAACTCTAAAAGTATCCTCCAAATATTTTCATTATTTTTTAATGGTTAAAACATCCTGTAAATCCTTATAAAAATATTCATTATGCTAATAAAAGCTTTATTTCATTCAACTTTGAATAAGAAAAGAAAAAATATACAAAAAAAAAAAAATTAAAAAAGAAAAACACTTTAACATATATTTTGCCTTTGATTGTATTATGAACTGAAATATAATGGTTAAATATATATATACAAAATATAAGTACATAGGTATGCAGCAGTGTCATTCTCATATGATTGCATATTTACATGCACATTTTGTTTTTTTTTTCACAAAAGATATTTTAAGCTACTAAAAGAAAACAAAAGTGCCATATATGGGTACACTAGAGTACACATAACATCATCACCATTATGCACATACAGTTTTGTATTGTAGTTAAATTACATATTAACTGTATAACATGTCATCTATCTATATAATATATAATGTAAATAATGCTTATAAAAATATTAAAAGTGTAAGAAAACAAGAAAAAAGAGAATATATAATAAAAAGATGACAAGATCGGGGATGCTAATGAATAAAATGCAAGTAAAAGTAGTCTCTAATTAGCTGCAAAGTTGAATAGTGAGTGGTGCAACGTTTAACACCCTTAGAACAAAAGAAATGCCAGCAAAATAAGAAAACAAAAAAAAAAAACAAAAAAGAAATTAGATAGACACTTGTGTATAAAGAATCTACAAATATGAACACCTATGTATGTATATACATATATATGTACAAATATATATTTAAATAAAAATAAAGAATATATATCACATATGTTATGGGTATATGATGTGATATTAGGATAAAAAATAAGTAAGGAAAAATGAATAATGAATATTTTTGTTTCTAGATAGTCTTGTACTACTTTGTTTTTCAATTGTAAATATTCTATGTATATATATAAAATATATATTACATATATATATATATATATATAATTAAGAAATTATATTTACTTGGTATATTTACATAATACAGTTGTATTCTAGGATTGTTATATCTTATCAAAGAAATTAAATTGCAGAAACAAGGTGCAGTTTGCAAAAAAATAATTTATTAAATTTAGAAATAAAATGAATATTAATATTAGGTAATTAAATTACACGGAAAAGTCAAATGTTTTTAACATGATTTCAATTGTTTCGAAAATCAAATATTAGAAAATTAATTGATTTTAAAAGTGTTATATAACAAATAAATTAAATTAATGAGCTTCAATGAAGGGGGTTTTTGAAATTGCTGCAAAAGTTAAATATAATATGTTCTTTCAATTTCAGTTCTATATAGTATAGAGCACGCATAACAAATAGAGAAAAAGTATAATGGACGGAATTTCATATTATGCATATAAATATAAAACAAAGTTTAATATTTTCAAAAATGAAATAGATTTTTACATAAGTTCAGTGTTAAAAACTCTTTTATTTAATATTCTAATTTCTGCACAATTTAACAGAACGCAGACAATGAATTTTCTATTGCTTATATATATCCTGTTAAATTATAAATTACAGTTGAAGTCAGAAAGGCGCTGAGGCCCGGTTGAGAAACGTGTATTTAAATCGTGCAAATTGTAATATATAAATATAAAATGTAAATGTACTTTAGGTTTTGAACATTATTTTGCAAATTGTTAATAATTTTAACTTCTGTGAATAATAGAATATTTTTTTTAAATAAGGAATTGAATTCATTGTAGTAAGTATTAGAAAATAATTACTCATAATAACCAAAATATTGGCTTGACTGCGTATTTAAAGTTAAAATACAAGTTGTTTATAAAGGTCTATAAGATTAAAATTTAACTAAATGTAATAAATAGGAGTGAAAATTAACTATTTTATAATTCATAAGGCTAATAGACCTTGTATTGGACCTAGTATCATCTTTGCACTGTATTGCATTAATAAAATTATTATATTTTTGGTAGAACAGAAAATTTTGTGTTTCAGTGAATTTAATTACCTTCATTACACCTTTTAAGAGGTTAATTATAGGTTCACATATATTGCTTGGTATAAATTACTATTTTAATTTTATGCTTTTCATTTATTTATTTTCATATTTGAAGAATTTTCTTCATAAATAAAACATTTATAATTTATTTAATTTATAAAATTCATTAACCTGTCTAATATATTCTTAATAAGAAGAACATATAGTATCAATGCCAATATTGTATATCTATTCACCTTATATGCTTTACCAAGATTGTATATCATAATTAACTATCTCATGTAACAAGAAATAAGGACCATTTACACTTTGTTTTTGTGAGGATTTGCCACTACAGCATTTGTAAAATTTATTTCAAGTATCAAAAGTCTAACGAATTATATTAAATATTGTACTTATTTTGAAAATTTTAGAACGTATTAACATAGTTTGTATACACTTGTTATTTTTACTTTGATATTTTATATTAACTAATTAGGCTTATATAAAATTTTTCGAATGTTTTTTAAATATATAGTTTTATTTACTGCTTCTTCACTCATAAATATCATCCTTTCTTTTATTTAATAAATTATTATTTAAGATTTTCTTTTTATATTAATATTTTTCATAACTACTCGTACATCCTTTATTTTAATATTTTGCATTCACTTAGAAAATGCAAAATATTCAAAAACAAAAAAAAGGAATCCTTTGGAGATTTACTTGTGAACAAAAAAAAAATATTATTCTATAAGCGTATGTGGGTCTTATAATATTTTTAAATAGCAATGTGTGTAATAAGCAAGGACCAATAAATAACATAAAAAATTTTTGAGAAAAAGAAAAAATAGAAAGCAAAAGCAGATGTTTATCCTTTCTTAATGTAAAGTTATAATGTTAATTAGCCCCTTTAAAGAGCAAAGTACATTTTTGTCTTAAAAAGTATGTAGGAAAAATAAATATTTGTTGTTTTGTTTTCACATATTTAAATACAAACAACGTTAATGGGCAACATATTGAAAAGTTAAAAGAAACAAAAACAGTAAAAACTTGAATAAAAATATTTGTTTTTGCTCTTAAATTACAAGAATACGTTGAATTATATTAAGAGTAAAAGAATCTTCATGAATTAAAAATAATATAATTTGAAATCGCATTAAATACATATTTTAATGGGAAAGATTTTATAAATGTTACAAATTTAAATTATCTAAATTATTCTCGACAATCTACACTCTTATAATGTAACACACACCGATCACTATTAAAAAAATTTCTTCCCCAAATTTATTTTAATTTCCTTAACATTTGAATCAACTTATTTTGAAATAAAATTTTATTTGAATATTTATTTAAACATATATGTATAACACCTTAAAAAATACTTATATTTAAATAAATAAACACAACATATTTTTTTTTAGGTAAAAATACATACCAAATTGACCACTAAAATGTTGTTGAAAATGACCACGAAATTCATGTGAATGTGGATTAAAACCGGGTGGTAAAAAACCTCTTAAATATGCTGCTGCCGCTAATGTCATATGATGATGATGTGCTGCATTTAATGGATGATTTTGATCAGTATAACCAGCAGCTGCATAAAAATTAGCTGGATTAAATACAGGTAATTGGCATGGATTTGTAATTGTTCCATTATTACTATTATTATTATTATTATTATTATTATTATGACTATTATTTGAATTATTATTGCCATTATTATTACTATTATTTAAATTTATAGGCCCATTTATATCTAAATCTCTTCCTATACTACCATTACCATCACCATCACAATCAATTTCACTACCTGTATCATTAATATTATCATTTTTATGTTCACTATGATTATTATTATTATTATTATTATTATTAATTATTGCACCGTTTTCATTTATATTATTAATATTATTATTATTATTATGGCTATCATTTGTAACGCTTGAACTTCGTTGTTGATTTTGTTTTTGTTTAATATTATCTGGTGATATTGAACCTAATGATTCTCGTGATGAATTTAAATTTGATGATATTGTTGTACCAATAATATTAACATCACTACATACTGATGTTGGTGATTGTGATGAATTAATTAATGCGGCAGCAGCAACAGCAGCAGCGGCAGCATTTGATGCAACAGCAGCAGCAGCAGCTGCTGCTGCATGACATGATACCGGCGATGGTGAATTATTTGATGATGGTCGACTAAGTATTGTATTATTATTATTGTTATTAATATTGTTATTACTAGCACCACTACCACCGCTTAAACCAAGAATTTCTTGTATTGCAAATGGTGTACGCATTTTCGTTGCTTGCATTTTGCCGACGGCAAGTTATTAAAAAAAAAAAAATTATTTTTATATAATATTTTTTTTTTATTAATTTCGTTTTTTTTTTGTAATTTGTTTAATTTTTTTTTTGTTTCGTGAGTATTAAATGTTATTTTAATATTTTGTATTAAAATTTAATAATGCGTATATAATTAATTTCCGCATTTGTTCTTTATTTTGTAAAATTGAAAAATTATTATTATTTAAAATCTTCATAATTAACGTCCGATTAGTTCGAAGATCAAAAATCAACTGTCTGATTATATCATTTGTCTATATGCAAAAAAAAAAATACAATATAACTAGGCATTTTAGCAATTTGTGTATAACATAATAAGTGTATATGCACATTACATATTATACAGAATTGTACCTATTTTGTTTTTTTTATTCAAAATTCTGTCAAAATATCACTAATTGTTCACTTTGTAGTCACTCACCAACATTTTGCTTTTTGTTGTTTTTTTTTATTTATTTTTCAACTTTCTCTTCTTTTTACTGTTGTTATAATTTTTTTTTGTTTTCCTTTTTTTTTTGAATTATTATTTTATATTTTTTCCAATTTTCTTTTAAAATGCTTATTTCACACTCTCTTTTTAATTCTACTAAATTTGCTTCGCATCATATATATATACTAATAAAATTTTGTATACATAAATTTGTAAATATACATGTATATATATAAGAAATATATTAAATATTTAAATAAAATTATGCATTTCAATTAAATCGTAAATTGCGCAAAAGGATCTTATTTATATTATTATTAGTCTGTTGTGTGTTCTATTCTGATTTATTGAGTTTTATTCATATAAGAATTAGAATCTGAGTTTTAAGAATCATTACTCACAAATACAATTGCTTTATTATTTTGCAGAGTTTACCATAAAATCTCTTATGATTTCTAGATCAATGTGTGCCTGCTTGTTTATCTAATAATAATATCAGCAAAAACTCTTTAAACTCACGTTTATTTAAGCAATATATTCAAAAATGAGTGGAGAATAAAATTTAGAACAGATTTTTAAATTTTAAAATTTCATAAAATGCATGTTCATATAGTGTGTTCACACAAAAGAACAACAAAAAATAAAATTAAAAAGCAAATAAAGTTTTTCTTATTATATTTTCCAGAAAATTGACTATTATTTTGTTTTTATTATTTTTTTTTATATGCTTTTTCTATTTTTCTTAAAATTAACTTTTGATTTGTTGCAAATAAATGTATGTATATATGTATGTGTTGCAAAACAGGACGATAAATTCCTTTCTTATAATATAAAATTGTTTTGTTTTTTTTATTTTCTCTTATTTTGTTTTTTTCATTATTTTTTTGAAATTTTTTTTCTTCTCCACTTTTCGTAAAAGAGAACAAATAAAAATTTAATAATAAAACAACAATATTCATGAAAAATTTTTTTTTTGTATTTCTTACAAATTCTCACAAATATACTCGATTTTCTTAAGTTTGTAATAGAGAAAAAGAGGAAAATTCACAACGTAAAAGATCTAGAAAAATAAAAACAACAACGAAACGCATACACAAAATAATTTTCCTCTTTTAATCCTATCTGTTTTTTTTTTATCCTTTTTTTTTTTTATTATATTTACATTTACACTCTAATACTTTGTTCTATACGTACGCAACACACAATGATATCAAAAAATATATGTGAAAATAAAAAGAAAAAACAAATTCACTAAACACCACGTCTAAAGCAATGACAGAATTCAAACTGACTGACTATGCGAAAAATCTTATTTAGCTAACTGGAGAATTTGAGATAAATAATAATAATCATAATAATAAGCAATGAAAAAATAACAACAATAAAAAAAAGAATGAACATAAAAACAAAATCATATCCTACACATTAATAACACGGGTTATGTGTGTATGTAACGTGTATACTAATATCGCCCTATAAATAAAAAATTTCTTATTAAAAATCCAGTAAGTAAAATAATATAACAACAAAATAATCATAAAATTGCCTCTTTTTAACATTACTATGAATGATGATGATAATCATTAAAAAGTAATGATAATAATGATGGTGAGAAATTATATGAGATATTGGAAAGAATTGTAGTATAAAGGAATAAAATGTACTAATGCTTTTCCTTTCTCTTCTAATTGAAAAATTTGTATGAACAATAAAATATTAATAATAAAAATATTATTAATGTATAAGAAAAAACGAAATAGATTAATTAGTAATTTATTATTTGAAAGAAAGAGATAATCATATATTTATATAGTATGAATGGTGTGTAGAAGAAGAATAATTTTTCTGTATTATTAATATTTTTCTTTACTTACGTTATATTAGCTTTACTCTTTACTCTTTTCAAAAACAAAAAACAAAAAATTACTCAAATTTAATTTTAGTTATGCCGCTCTCTCTCTCTTTTTGATGTACTTGATGCGTACAGCGGCGAGCAAAATAAAATTTGAGAGTAAAAATATTTTTGCCAAACCCACTTTTTTTTTTTTTTTTTTATGTATTATTCTTTTTAAATGCTATAAAAGTTATAAAATATAAAAATAAACAAACAAAATAATCCTTGAAAATTAACAATTTCCAAATAAATATTCCTATTACTGGAATAGTGATATGAAAATACAAACACATTTCATAAAATATTGGAATATTTCTCAATTATGATTATAAAGAAATTTACATTATATGTCTATCTCTGTTTTTGCTTTGTCGATATTATTAAAATTTGAGAGAGAATGAGGAGTGGTTTTTTCCTTCTGTTTTCTTCACATACTTATTTTCTCATGAGATTTTTTTTGCTAGACCAAAAGAGAAAAATTCCAAAAGAATTTATTCAAATCTAATATTGAAAATTATTCAAAAGAAAAGAAACTTTCCAGGATATTTTTTAAACTCTGGAATTTCGTTTATATACTAACTAACACACACGCAATTCTATATTTATTCTGTAAAGAAGACAATTTTTATTATTTTGTATACGGATATAAAATCTGGAAAATGAGTTATTATACGCAATAATGACGTACATATGTGTTAGTTTGTTTATTCATTATTATTTCTTTGCTTTATATTTACATGGTTGGAGTGTATATTTATTTGTTTTATAAAAATATAAGTTTTTATATGGTAAGGTACGTATGGATGAACATTAATTATTTTGTAATGCGTTCGTTGTACAGATTGTATAAACTTTATATTAGTAGATATTACTATGTTATATTTTATTCTGGTAAATTTTCTGCTAATAATAATTTTTTAAAAACTTAACTTTTGTAGTTTCTGTATTCATATATAAGGATATTGAAATTAAATATAAAGAAAAGGAATGTTATCTATATTGAAAGCTTAACTATATATTATTATATAGAATAATATTGTGTAGAAAAACAAGGTTAAACTTTTGGGTATAGTTAAAGTAAGAATATATTGTACGTATATAATAATTTAATTAGTACTAGTTATAATAGAATGATATGAGAAATTAAGTATACACTGTTTGTATTCATGATATACTTTTGTATATTTAAGTTTTATGTCATGTTTACATAATAACGTATAAGAAAATATAAATTTGCAAAATTAAATATGAATATTTGAGTTATAAATTTCTGTAAAAGAACCAGAAACAGAAAGCAAAGAATTTAAAATTATTTTTAAAAATTTGACAAATTTTAAATTAGAAAGCTTTTATTTCATTAAATTGTTTGTACGGTTATTGTACAGGATTATGCGTTTCCATATGACTTCTTTTGATTTATAAAATAAGAAGGTCGAGGGATATTGTATTTACTCAAGTTGAATGAATTGTTTTTAGTATTGTGAAAATTTAAATGTACGAAAGATTGGGGAATGTGTAAGAGTATAGTAATAAAACTAAAGTGCTAAGTATATGCATGTAGAGAAAGTATAAGAGAAGTAAAATAAAATTCATTCACACTTATAGGAATGATGAAAGTTTAACCTTAAATTTTTGAATAAAACATATTATAATATGATATACTTACATATAAATATTGCACATGTATATTCACATATTTATGAAAGTATTTATATATCTTATTTAACTGTAATATGTGCTTATTAATTTTAAGGATAATTAAATTAATAATTGTAGATTTAAGAAAGTTGTACATTATACAAAATTTTATATAAGTAGTTTAAAATTATTTTTTCTTTATCATGCTGAAATAATGTTTACAGTAAGCTCTCTTAACGTAGAATTTATATGTATTTATACAAATTTTGATATTGAAATACTGACTTTTTTTAAAAGGACACTTATTGCGAATAATGTGCTTGCGTTTCCAATTTTGTAAATTAATGTAAGTTATGAAAATCGAATTATATTATGAAAGGGTATAATACAATATGGATTTTTTTTTTTAAATTGTATGAGTATTAATGAATTTCGTAATGTGGTGTAGGTGTTAAATTGAAGCAAATTTAGTATAATTTTTAAAATTTTTATTTTATTAGGTTTATGCCATATGAATATCATTAAATTTTGAACTAATTTATAAATTTTCAAAAAATATATATTTTTTTTTGTGAGCTATTTTACAAAAATTTAAAATATTTTCAACAATTATTTATCAGTATTGCTGTTTTGCTATTATACAATATTAGATTTAAATTTTTTTATAAAAGGAATTAGAGCCGCATGAAATATTGAGCGTAATGATATTCACATACATTTAATGTTATTTTTCGGACTGCAGCAATACCGAACGTATTATGAAAACTATTTTCAAGTAAAATTTTAATATTGCATAATTAAAATATATATTATTTTGAACTTATTTATTTCTTGAAAATAGCTTTGTCCTTATTCCTTTTGTATAAATTTCCGTATTAAGTTATACAAAATTTGAGACATAATATGAGAAAATAAATACAATTCTAATAGTACAAGTAAATAAAGAAATTATTACATAATATTTTGTTTTAGAAAAATTATTGTTATATTCTAAATTTCAATATTATTAATAGTACTCTCATGTTTTCATATTTTCATAAGATTTTTAAAAATAATTAATATTTTCTATTGTAATAT